GCAAGCCCCGCTGCACCCACCGCCAGCCCTGCTTCTGGCGGCCAGTTCTCCCCTCCTCTCCCGATCTCCCCCGGGCAGCCCCGCTGTATCCAACCCCCGGCCCCGCTGCCAGCTCTACCTCCCGCTGGCTGGTTCCTCTTCCTCCTGATCTTCCCCAGCCAGCCCTGCTGTACCCCCTGCCAGCACTGCTTCCGGTGGGCAGTTCTCCCCTCCTCCTCCTGAGCTCCCCTGGCCAACCCCGCTCCTGCTGGCTACCCCTCCTTCCCCCGGCCATCCCTGCTCCACCCGACCCTCACCGACCAGCTCTGCTTCCTGTTGGCCGCCTCCTCCCTGATCTCCCTCGGCCAGCTCCCGATTTTCTCCCCCTCCCCCAGCTCTGCTTCCCACCTCTCACCCCAGTCCCTTCCCCCCTTCCCAGTCCCTTTCCCCCACCCTCTTCCCCCATGAAGTGTGTCGGGTATTTTTTTTAAGACTACCTGGTAACCCGATAATGTCTCAAAAAAAAAAAAAAGTGGTTTTGTGTTTTAATTTAATCGCATGATATGCTCTTTTAGTTTTAAAGTATGGATTGCTGTATTATGCAATAAGTGCCAAATTGCACATGTAAAAAAACAAACTAAGAAGTACAATGTCCCATACTTAAGTTTGTATTTTTTAAGTAAGGTTTAGTTGTTAATTTAAAAAAAATTAAGTTTAGTTAAGTTTTAGTTTCTTTAGTTTGTTTGATGAATAAAAATAATGTCCTTTATGATTGAGTATTCAATAAATGTTCACCAATTAAAAAATAAAATTCCCTGGGTGCACACCCTAATGAAATGTGCTGCACATGCCTATGTCAAGCACCTGTAATCTGGAGCACTATGAAATAGAATTTACAAAAGTGAATGGGATAGGACAGGACAGAAAGTCGACAGAAGAGTCTTAGAGAGGTGTTATCATAGTTTGCATTTCTAGATGGAGGCTGAACCAGCTGCTCTTTACAGCCCAAATGCAAAGGAAAAAAGTTGAATACTTTCTTTCAGAGAAAGAGGTGGCGATAGTCTTCTCTATACAGTATAAGATTTGTGACACAACTTGACATTGACTTCACTAAAGTCCAGGTAGTTTGAGAATAAACTTGTATGTGGTGAGTTGAGGGGTGATCTGGAAAAGGGCAACATGCAGGGATCACATCCTTTCACTCCCCAGTCAGATTTGTTACTTTGATCATAGTTGCCACTTGGAATTTTTCCAAGTACTTTTCAAGACACCACTAATATCTTAGGGTATGTCTACACTACCCCGCTAGTTCGAACTAGCGGGGGTAATGTAGTCATCCGCAGTTGCAAATGAAGCCCGGGATTTGAATTTCCCGGGCTTCATTTGCATGAAGCCAGCTGGCACCATTTTTAAATGCCGGCTAGTTCGAACCCCGTGCCGTGCGGCTACATGCGGCACGGAGTAGCTAGTTTGGATTAGGCTTCCTAGTTAGGCACGGTGTAGCTAGTTCGGATGAGGCTTCCTAGTTAGGCACGGAGTAACTAGTTCGGATTAGGCTTCCTAGTTAGGCACGGAGTAGCTAGTTCGGATTAGGCTAGTTCGGAACTCCTTCCGTTCCACGAGAAGTACAGCTAGTTCAGATTAGAAGCCTAATCCGAACTAGCTACTCCGTGCCGCGTGTAGCCGCTCGGCACGGGGTTCGAACTAGCCGGCATTTAAAAATGGCGCCGGCCGGCTTCATGCAAATGAAGCCCGGGAAATTCAAATCCCGGGCTTCATTTGCAACTGCGGATGACTACATTACCCCCGCTAGTTCGAACTAGCGGGGTAGTGTAGACATACCCTTAGGTATTATACAGTATAACAGCACTCTTAATGTGTAAAACAAAGCAAAGCAAGGTGTCTGAGCATTTCTTATGGGAATTATAAAGAATAAGAAATGCTTTTTGAAGAAATTATGTGACTATGTATATTTGAAGAACAATTTTTTTCATGGTTTAATGATACTGAATTGATATTGCAAATTACGTTATGTTGCAATAAATTGAATAGATTGTTTTCCCTCTGAAAATATAGGTCAGTTTGGTCATTATTAATGTATGGCATAATCTGCAAAATTTAGGGTTTTGACTTCGTCCCTTCTTTAATTTTTGTTGAAGAACAATCATTATGATTTTTATTGGCATAACAAGTTATGCAGATGTTGCTAATGCTAGTTTTTTAAAATAATGTTGTCCTTTTGACTTAATCTAACTAGGGATGTCAGTGTTTAACTATTTAACCAGTAAACCTCACCTGTAACTGGTTAACCAATTAAATGGGATTTTACATCTCTAAAACTAACGGACTTCAAGCTACTATTTTTTTGTTAACACTATGCAAAATTTTAGTACAGTAATCTTTCATCCCTAACATTTTTTTTTAAATCGAGTAATAATTCCTGATTCCTTACCGGAGTGGGGAACCTAAAGCCCGGGAGCCAGAGCCAGCTCCTAGCTTGCCTGGATATGGCCCCAGAGGCTCAGGGCTCCTCCCCAGCATTGGGGAGCCCACATTGGAACTCCAGCCCATGGACCTCCTGGCTTCCCCCCCATGGGGCTGGTGTGCCAGTGCCAGCTCCCCGCTGCAGGGGGCAGAGCCTTGAGCCTTGCAGGCTAGAAAATAGGCAAGCCAGGGCTGGATCTGACCCATGGGCTTTGCCTAGCAGGGGTAGGGTGGGGGAAGGAAGCAGCTCCATGTGCTGCTGCTCCCCCACCTCCTGGCTGGAACAGTAAAGCACTGTCTAGAGCAGTGATTCCCAACCTTTTTCCCATGGAGGAACCCCTAAAATAATTTTTCGTATCCCAAGGAACCCCTATCTATGAAAATGTTTGCTTGGCCAGAAAAAGTTGACAGCGGGAAGCGCAATTCAATTACTGCTAAATTTTTTCAAGAAAATGTATTTGTAAAGAGCTGGTTTATTTATATATATAAAGTGTGTGTGTGTGTGTGTGTGTGTGTGTGTGTGTGTGTGTGTGTGTGTGTGTGTGTGTGTGTGTGTGTGTGTGTGTGTGTGTGTGCATTGTAAGAAAAGAATTTGCAGTATTTTTCCTGTCTTTTTTTGTATTATCTAATCTTTTTTTTTCAAATATCCTCCCCCTCCTGCCTCACTCTCTCTTTCTCTTCTCCTCCCCCTCCTGCCTCACTCTCTCTTTCTCTTCTTCTCCCCCTCCTGCCTCTCACTCGCGGAGCCCAAATGGCTGCTTGCTCCCACACGTCAGCTGAGCGCCAGGGCGGGAGGCGAAGGGCGTGACAGACGCTCCAGGCCCTGCCCAGCATTATTTATTCCACGATTTCTTGTGGAACCCCTGATGATGGTCCGCGGAACACCGGTTGGGAAACAGTGGTCTAGAGGCTTTTCTCCCTGCCGCCCCAATTGGCTATAATTGCAGCCAATGGAAGCAGCAGGGGTCAGATCCTGGAAGTAGTAGGAGACTGAGATACAGAACCATATGTGTCCCTGGGAAGCTGTGCCAAGTGAGTGCCACCCGCCATTGCTCAGACCATGCTCCTGCATCCCCCTTCTGCTCAGATTCCTCAACCTCCAGCCTGCTCCTACACCCTCACTTCACTCCTGCACCCGACCTCCTGCACAGACCCTGCTCCCCCACTTTGCTCCTGCACCTACCTCCCACCCAGACCCCTCACTCCCAATCCACTCCAACACCCCCCTGCCACTCAGTCCTCTGACTCCCAGTGCACTCCTGCACCCTCCGTCCTGCCCAGATCCCACACCTCAAGCCCACTTCCCAGCAGCCCCCTCCTATACACTGAACCCCTCATTTTTGGCCCCACCCCAGAGCCTAGGGGAGCCCGCAAAATCTACTAGCCAGTGCTCTCCTAGGCTCTGGTATATGAGGTAATGCTGGGAGTATCTTTCTCCTTCTCAATTGGAGTCACGTCAGTGAAGGTTTTTTTGTTTGCTTCTCATTTTTGTGTGGCCACTGAAGCAAAAAAGGTTCCCCACCGCTTATATGATGGTTAGGAGCCTCAGGATTGTCGATTGTCTTAAGTTTACCCGGTCTCCACAATTAACAAAAACACAGATAAAAGATAGAAGGTGGATAAAATATGCTATTGAGAGTATGATTTATGAAGCGATTGAAGGACTGTTACTTGAAATTTTATTTAAAAAAACATGCTGTGATTTTGCTTTGTCATTTAAACTGAAAAAGTTAATATACGATCCTGTACTTTTCTTGTTTCAATTAATGTACATTATTTAATATTAACTCTATATACCAAGAATTCCAATTTGTGTTGATTATTGATAAAATTCTTTTTTTGTTAAGAGATTTATTTTTTTTGGCCTGAGTGTCTTTGTGGTACCTTTTTGTCTACTGGCAGTAGGAGGGGTTGATTTATTTAACTGATGAAGAGCTTTGTATGTGATAATTTTGGAACTGGAGGTATTTACCCTTTCAGTAGTTGCTGTGGCTCCGGTCCTGTAAATAGAGCTGCATGGGTGGCCCCTGCTGAAGTTTGTGCGGCTTTGTGCAGGTGCAGGCACCTGCTCACGTGATTGTCATTTCAGGATCAGGGCCCATGTTTGTAACTCTTTTAAAGTATTATAATTAAATGGCATGTATAGTCTCTTGAGAGGAACATCATTCTCTTGATAAAAATAATATCTGGTAGCTTGTTGTGAAACATCAATCATGCCTGGTACAGCTCTTCCTCCTCTGTTTTCCCTCCTTGCTATCATCTCTTTGCTGTCCATTAATGGAAATACACTGTAACATCACCAGAACTCCATTAAGTCTGTTTGTTGTAGAGAAGTAATACAAGGTCTTTGGTTGTTAGGATGAATGAAAATACAGTGAGCCAAATTAATCCCTGGTGAAGGCCTATGTACTTCCCTGGCTTTGCACCAAAAAGAGTTTGACCCCTTTATTACTGTAAATTACAGAAATTTAAAATGGTTATTAAATGATAAAAGTTTCTTTTCTATCAATTATACAGAGTATTTATTCTTTCTGTAGTATCAGAGATGCAGACTCTGGGACAGATTACATGACGAGCACATCAATGCTGGACGTACTGTTCAGGTAAGGATATTAAAGTGGCTATGTGAAATTAATGGGATTAAATGTCTTTTTATGCAGTGCTAGATGAGATGAAGGATTTTGATACCGATTAATATTTTATAGGCATCTGTTTCTGCTTTACTTTAAAGTAGTTACCCAAAATGTGGCCTGAGGAGCAAATGTAGCCATAGGCTTTCTCTTCTTGTCAGCACAGAAAAAGAACAAAGATGATACTCTACTGTGTTTATTGCCACTAAACTCAAACCATAACATTTTTCTGTTCTTCTACTAAGGTATAGATGCAAGTAATTTTTCTGATGGTATGCCCTTATTTTTTATTTTTAAGTACCGTATGTGTATACATTCAGATCTGCAGCTAAGTGTGACTCTTAACACCTGAAAAATTATTAGTGCAGTCTTGTGAGTTTTAACACTGAGGTATCTTATGTCATAAATGTAATTAGAACATAGCAATTGTTAAAATGGAATGGATATGGACTCAGTTTTCCTACATAATTAGACTTAAATAGATCATCTGCTCTTAGATGCATAAATACCCATTTTACTTTCATGGATGTCAAAGGTTCTGCTCATGCAGTGTGGTTCACTATCATGGACACCTGTGCCTTTATAGCGATCCATTAATTTTATGCCCAATCAATCTTAACTCTGCCTTATGTAGAGTGTCATGAAAATTTAACCCCCCCATTTCCTATATATAAAACATTACAAAGTAATATACATGCCAGAGAGCAACATCCATCTAGCTCAGTGATTCCCAAGCTTTTCCAGATGGGAACTCATTTTGACAATTCAGGAAGACTTGGTAACCCAGGGCAATTAAAAAAATGTGTGAATGGCTTAAGAGCCACTTGGGGACACACCTGGTGACCTTTTTGAAATGTAATGGCGACCCATATTTGGGTCCCGACACATAGGTTGGGAAACCCTGATCTAGCTAATAATCCATCGCCCAAGGAGCCTCAATGATAGAAATGACTACTAAGAACATATTAAAGTTTACAGTTCTAATACTATAAACAAGTCTTATTACGGGCTCTGGTTCCTATGGAAAATAAAAGGAGATTAAAACCTATACACAGAAGCAAAATTTAATCACAGTGTAACAATGGCATCAAACAAAGGGCAGAGTTAAGGTTGTATTGGTGTGATTTTTGAGTCCATTGGTGAGTAGAGTTGGTTTGCAAGTAATGGAAGATTTTTGATTGCCTGTGGGCAGAGATGAGAGAGGTGATATATGTAGTAATAGTTTTATTCTGTGTTTCCAGGTTTTTGAAGGTTTGAGTTTGGCATTATTATGTTTTTCATGATGTATTTTTGATATTTGAAGATGAAATAATAGCACTTGGTTGTTTGTATACTCCATAGTGTATTCTGGATATGATTTCAGACTCAGACCCTAACAACAACAGAACAATATCATAATGTAGGTAGGTTCTTGCCAAGTGGACACCTATTTGGCCAGAACTGAGTTAAAATTGAGCTTCAGTATACTGTTGATAGATAATTGAACAATCATGGTAGATAGAGCTTTACATGGAGTTCTGATTTTATTAAGATCATGCTATTGCAGTTTTAGCCAGATGACATCTGCCAGTTATCCACACAGAAATGCCACATATATCAAACAAATGTAAAATGAATTTACATTTAAAAGCTGTAATACAAAGGAGGTTTTATTTTATATTGTATCTTCAGTTATTTAATGTTGGGGGTGAACAGAAAGGATATCAATTTCACTTAACACTAACCCAGTATTTTTTTTCATTTAATTATTTTATGCTTTCATATTTTGAAGCTGAAAGGATAAGTTATGCATTAAACTGATATACAGTCTGATGCTAGCAGCCCAGAATAAGTATTTGGATCCATGCAAGCAAGAATAGACTAGGACTTTATTTTAATTAAATAGTTAGGAGTCTGGAGTACTTGATGATAAATTATATGACATGTAGAACGTGTTTGCTATAAGCTGTTTAAATGTTTACCAATGGACTTGTGTTCTGTTTGTTTGCAAAGAAATCAGATTAATTATTGTGATACCAAATGTTCTCTGCAGCACACACTTTCCTCTCAGAATTAGATGTTGTAAAAATACATTAGGAATCCTTAAGTCAATATTGACCCAAGGCATCCGCCACAGGTTTTAGCCAACTATATGCACAGCCACTCTACATTTA